CCCCGCTTCCTCCTGCTCATGGGCATCCCTGGCATGTCCCATCCCTCCTTTGGGGCAGGCAGACCCCCCCTTGCAGCTGGTAGAGCTGCCAGGCACCCTGAAAATGCCTGTGAGAGCACCATGGCACTAGCAAGAGCCTGCATGCGAGTAGCACCAGCACTGCTGCTAAAAACAGGGCCTCTGCTGTCCAGCTGCCAGCCCCTGCGAGCGTGCCACAAGGGCACGGCTGTGCTGTGCCACGTAATCCAGGATAATGTGCCCGATGTAGCTGTTAAGAGGGTTTAGGTTTCCCCAGCTCCCTGGGATGGGGGGGGGGGAAAGAGCTGTGTGGCGCTCAGCTGGCAAGCCACTGCGATGCCACCGAAATAACTGGGGAGGTGGCTGCTCCTGGCACTGGGGAGTGGGGTCTTGGTGCTGGATTGGGCCAAGCCGGGGGTTTTTTGGGGTCTGGCTGGGGTGGTGGAGGGGCCCTGTGCTCACTGAAGGTCTTTTCCCCCTAGGATTTTCATATGAAAAGGACACGCGATTGTATTTTGATGACACGTGTGTGGTACCAGAGAGGCTGGAGGGTAAGAATCTGTCCCCAGAGGAGGGCTGGGGGGTGACCAGGGCTCGTGGAGGGAGATTTGGAGCTGGGCCCCATAGTGGCTGGCTTTTAAGACCAAGCTGTGCTGGTGCAGTGCTCTTGAGAGCTGCAGAGCATTGTCCCACAGGGCTGCTCGGCATCACCGCTGTGCCTTGTCCCTGCCACCACCCTGAGCCTCATCTGCCTGCAGTGCCATCCCCAGCACCTCTCCCTCTCCAACCCTGTGGCCTGATCCTGCACAGGGGATCCTGGCACAGGGGCGAGCCCAGTGTTGCTGTACGTGTTCTCTGCTGGGTGGCACAGCCAGAGCTGGGCTGTTTAACCAGCCATGTCTTGGTGCGGGCAGGTAAAGTGAAGCAGGAGCCCACCCTGTACCGTGAGGGCCCTCCCTACCAGCGGCGTGGGTCCCTGCAGCTCTGGCAGTTCCTGGTCACCCTCCTGGACGACCCTGCCAATGCCCACTTCATCGCTTGGACTGGCCGGGGCATGGAGTTCAAGCTGATTGAGCCTGAGGAGGTATGGGGGTTCCTGCCCCAGTGCCTGGCGTGCTGGAGCCAGGGCTGTAGCCTGGGAACAGCAGCGGGGAGAGCCTGGGGGTGCGGGTGGGGGGCTGGATCTTTCCCATGCAACACAGCAGTTCAGGCTCACACTTGAAGCGAGACATGTGTCTTACTCTCTGGGCAGCTTTTAAGGGTGAGAGAGAAAAGCCAGCCACCCATCTGCACTAAGCAGCCATAGAAACTTGCCTTTAATCTCCTCCGCTGCCTCTCGGCATGGTACGTGCTCTGCTCCCGGAGCCACCAGTGGTCACCAGCTGCAGTGGCGTTGCCTCTGTGCCGTGCCTTGGGTGTCTTGCTGAGACACATTGCTCAGCCATCGCTCCCTCCCTCCCAAACTGCTTCACACTGAGTCCCCAGCGGTGGCTCCATGCCGGCACAGTGCTGTGCCGGAGCGGTGTGGCTCTGCAGGAGGGTGACACAGAGGAAGAAGCTGTTTAGGCAGTAATTGAAAGCAGCTGTAGCACCAAGCTGTGCATTGTGGGTAATTACCCATAATATCTCTTATGCCATGCATGGAAATTGTGGTTTTTTGAAGCGGCTTTTTTGGCAGGCTCCCCTAATCAAATGTCTTTTGATTCGGCCCCTGGTTTGGTGCTGGCAGCCGGCGCTCAGAGCTGGAGCATTTATCGCAGCAAGTGGGGAACTTCTCCAGGACCACGGTGATGCTTTCACCCCTGGCTGCTCCAGCCCCCAGAAACAAGCCCCTACCCCACATTTTGGTTCTGATTTCCTTCAAGGGCCGATATCCAAGCCCCAGCTGGAGCCTTCATGGCTGCTGCCATTCTCCCCCCAGGTAGCGCGACGCTGGGGCATCCAGAAGAACCGGCCAGCCATGAACTATGACAAGCTCAGCCGCTCCCTGCGCTACTACTACGAGAAGGGCATCATGCAGAAGGCAAGTGACCCTGCTGCCACAGGGGGGTAGGTGGAGGGTGTGACTGTCCCCCACTATCACCCAGCATCCTGGGGCACAGCAGGAGGGGGGCTAGGTCCAGTGTTGGTTGTGCTGCGCTTGTTATTCCCTGGGGGGGGAGGTGCAGGGCACCTCTCATGCCCTTCTCCTCCTTGCAGGTGGCTGGCGAGCGGTACGTCTATAAGTTCGTCTGCGACCCTGATGCCCTCTTTTCCATGGCCTACCCCGACAACCAGCGCCCCTTCCTGAAGACGGAGCCTGACTGCCCGGTGCCTGAGGAGGAGACAGTGCCGCTGACACACTTTGAGGACAGCCCAGCGTACCTCCTGGAGATGGATCCCTGCGGCAGCCTTCCCTACGCGGAGGGCTTCGCTTACTGACTCAGCCAGCTGGCAGAGCCACGAGCACTAGCACATCCACTTTGGGCAAATACGGTTTTCTAAAGAATATTTTTTTGCTTTTCATAAGGAAAAAAAAACCAAACCAACAAATCACACGCGTGCACACACAAATTGGAGGAATCTAAAATGCCCCCTGTGTGTCACCGCCGAATTCCCACCCTTACTCTCCAAGGGCTAGTGCATAGGACTGCCCGTGGCTGCCACCTCCTGTCAAGCATTGGCGCAATGTTTTGGGGTGACGGGAGCTAAAGATGCAGTCTCTGACCCAGGCCCCATTCCTCGCCAGCACTGTGAGGGCTGACAGCTTCAGCAATGCCCCGGGACTGGGCTGAGCCAGTGTGGCCCCCTAGTGAATTGTCATGACAATCTGCTTTGCATCAAGCACGATCTGCGTAGCTGCCTTGTGTGGTGGAAAGGGCTTTGATTTGCACAGAGGAGGGATGCGGGGGGGGTCATCTGGGCCAGCACCCCAGGGCTGATGTGCACAGCATCCTACCCCAACCCTGAGGAGCCTCCTGCCTTCTTCCCGAACTGACTCTCCCTGCCCCACCCTCGTGATATAACCTGATATAATAGTTTCCCAGCCCCACTGGGTCCTCTCTGTGCCCCTCTCACTCCTCCTCCCCAGCTCCGGCTGTGTGCCATGGGTTGCATTTCGGGGGAGGAGACCCTGACACTATCTCCCTCCCTCCCTTCCCCTTTCTTTTTTCTTCTTTTTCTTTCTTTTTTATGTTTTAGGGGGGAAAAAAAGGTTTCTAAACTGTTTTTTGTAGATTTTTTTGTATTTTAAGGCAAAGCTATTTTTTGCAGCCTGGCTGCTGTTCCCAGAGCCCCTGGGGACGCCCCCCCGGCTTTCCCGGTGGCTTGCCGGGATGGCTGCTGAAGTATCTGGTCCACTCCATTTCACCGCTCAAGTTCTCTTTCCCAGGGGAGCCAGGACTGAACCATGGTGCCAGCTCAGCTGTGGTCCCCCGCTGCTCGGCATGGCCTCGGAGCTGGGCTGTAAGGCTGCAGTCGGCAGGGGCGGTGGGGTCCCCCACCCCGTTTCCCAGGTAACCTGCTTCCCTCCAGCTCCCCTCTCCCTGCTGCACCTCCTAACACTCCTCCATCATTCATATATCCATACCTGCCTATCCCCCCACTGGCTACATGTTTTTGTTGTAAATGCTGTATAGGAATTTTTTTCTCTTCCTTAGTTAGCTTTGGTTGGATTTTTTTTTTTTCTTCTGACTGATTCATTCATTTTTTGGGGAAGTATGAAGATTAACTCTAGGTAGACTCAGTTGCTCTCCTCACAGTGGCTGCAGTGGCCTGTACCTGTGGGGAGCATTTGGTTGCGGGAACCCTACCTTGGGGACAGGGTTTTAACCATTTGCTCAGTGTGGCAGGTCTACAGTGCCGAAGGGGTTAATCTGAGGACTAGTTTGAAATAATCTTTACTCAAGCAGGGCTATGTATCTCCTGCAAAGCTGCATTACATTCTGTACTATGTACAATAAAGGATCTTGCTTTCTGTTCCTCCCTGCCTGCCTGGGCCCCTGCTTTCCCTGTGCTGTGGGATACTGCTCAAGCTGGGAGGGAGCCTCTGGATGTGCTGGTGGGGGCAGAAGTGGTCCAGGGTATGGCCTGTTGCTTGTCCTTCATAGGAGCTGCGTCCAAGTGGGGGTGCAGGTCCCCAGGTCAGGGCTGCCCTCTCCCCAGCTCCCTGTCTTCTCCCCAGTCCTGGGGCTGTTGCTTCTGGGTCTGGATGCTGCTGTGGCTTTCACAAAGCCACATCCAGTGAGAGGATCCATTTGAAACAGTGGCAGCTTCTGCCCACCAAGGTGCAATTTAATATTGCCTCTTCCCAAGGGTTTCTCAGCTAGTGGGTCCAGCTACCTCTGTCCCCTTTGCTCTCCCCTGGAAAGCCAGGCCCCCTGCCGTCAAGCAGGGCTAAAGGTGGTGGGAACCTCTCATCATTGGCACCCAGAGAGGAAAGCCCCTTCAGGAGCTTCTGGCAGTGGTCCCCCAGCACTTACTGGCCCCATTTCTAGCCTGGGAAAAATCCCTATAGAGCAGCAGGGTCTGCAAAAGGCTGAAGGAGGTGGGTGGAGGGCAAGGGCTGCTCCACAAGGACTTGACTCAGTTGAAGGGTCTGTGTTTCCCCTGACGGCCTGGAAAAAAGCTCAAACACCCTAGAACTGCCCAGTCATGTTGGCCTCTATTTTAGTTGCTCAAAGCAGGCTCAGCTGTGGTGTCTACTGGCTCCTAGCCCCATCCCTGTGCAGGGTGGTGGGGCAATGCTGCTGGAGACACCGATGGCTCTTCTCTTGCAGGCTTTTTTCACAGACCGGCCAAACTCCATCCCTAGACATGTCAGTGGAGAGAAGGAAGGTCCTTGCGTGCTGCAATGTTTTTATATAGAATCATAGAATCATTTAAGTTGGAGAAGACCTTTAAGATCATTGATTCCACCTGTTAACCTAGCACTGCCAAGTCCACCACTAAACCATGTCCCTAAGCACCACATCTACACGTCTTTTAAATACTTCCAGGGATGGTGACTGCACCACTTCCCTGGGTAGCCTGTTCCAGCGCCTGACAACCCTTTCGGTGAAGAAATTTTTCCTCATGTCCAATCTAACCCTCCCCTGGCGCAACTTGAGGCCATTTCCTCTCGTCCTATCACCAGTTACTTGGGAAAAGAGACCCACACCCACCTCACTACAACCTCCTTTCAGGTGGTTGTAGAGCATGATAAGGTCTCCCCTCAGCCTCCTTTTCTCCAGGCTAAACACCCCCAGTTCCCTCAGCCGCTCCTCATAAGACTTGTTCTCCAGACCCTTCACCAGCTTCGTTGCCCTTCTCTGGACACACTCCAGCACCTCGACGTCCTTCTTGTAGTGAGGGACCCAAAACTGAACACAGTATTCGAGGTGCGGCCTCACCAGGGCCGAGTACAGGGGCACGATCACTTCCCTACGCCTGCTGGCCACACTATTGCTGATACAAGCCAGGATGCCATTGGCCTTCTTGGCCACCTGGACACACTGCCGGCTCATGTTCAGCCAGCTGTCGACCAACACCCCCAGGTCCTTTTCCGACAGGCAGCTCTCCAGCCACTCTTCCCCAAGCCTGTAGCGCTGCATGGGGTTGTTGTGGCCGAAGTGCAGGACCCGGCACTTGGCCTTGTTGAATCTCATACAGTTGGCCTGGGCCCATGGATCCAGCCTGTCCAGGTCCCTATGCAGAGCCTTCCTACCCTCGAGCAGATCAACACTGCCGCCCAACTTGGTGTCGTCTGCAAACTGACTGAGGATGCACTCGATCCCCTCGTCCAGATCATTGATAAAGATATTGAACAGAACTGGCCCCAAAACTGAGCCCTTGGGAACACTGCGCGTGACCGGCCGCCAACTGGATTGAACTCCATTCACCACGGCTCTCTGGGCCCAGCCGTCCAGCCAGTTTTTTACCCAGCAAAGAGTATGACCGTCCAAGCCATGAGCAGCCAGTTTCTCTAGGAGAATGCTGTGGGAGACGGTGTCAAAGGCCTTACTGAAGTCCAGGTAGACCACATCCACAGCCTTTCCCTCATCCACTAGGTGGGTCACCTGGTCACAGAAGGAGATCAGGTTGGTCAAGCAGTACCTGCCTTTCATGAACCCGTGCTGGCTGGGCCTGATCCCCTGGTTGTCCTATACGTGTTGTGTGATGGCACTGCTCCATAACCTTCCCCAGATCCGAGGTCAGGCTGACAGGACTGTAGTTCCCCAGATCTTCCTTCCAGCCCTTATTGTAGATGGGCATCACATCCAGTCAGCTGGGACCTTCCCGGTCCCACCTCACCTCAATCCACTCCTGGCCACTAGGCACGTTGCTAATAGCTCCTTGAGCTACTCTTCTTCTTTCTTCGTGCCTGAAGTATTAGGCTGAGCAGAGAAGCATGGCCGTCTCCTAGCCCAGGCAGGGCAAAGCAGTGTCCCAAACATCTAGCAATGAACCAATTCACCCAGCATGAAGCCTTCCAGGAGTTAAATGAGCTGCTCAGCCCCTGAAGATATCTCCTTGTACTCCGTAGGGAGCTCCATGGCACCAAGCCTTGGTGTTTTGGCAAGCAAGCCTCTAACTGATGGTCAAGTAGGCTCTCCTGTATGGGCAACCTGTGGCCATCTAGCACCAGGGAGACATTCAGGTGGGAAGGAGCCTCAGGGCAAGTCCTCCTCGCTGTGCTGGGGCCAGGGACTGCGGCAGGACCACTGGGCACCCACAGGCAGCAGCGCTGGCTGCACCCTGCACCCACACGGGGCTCTCAGTACAGTGAAATCCCCTGGCCTGGGCGCATACCCATAGCTCGTGCCAGCCTCCCAACCCTACCCAATTTTTATTTTCTACAAATCTTTGTCCTCTGCCTAAGACTGCAAAAATCAAGTTAAACAGGAGGGGATGTGAAAAACCTTGCTGGCAATCTGAGCTCCAGACAGTGCCCAGTAATCCCACCTCGATGGGGATTTCAGCAGACCAAGTCCTGGTGCTCAGGATGGAGCAAGGGGAAAATGGGGCCACCGGCACCGCTGTCGGCAGGCAGATGGCCTAGGGCAGCAGGACCTCAACCCAACAGCACGGCCAGTGTGTGGGACCAGTTATGGACAGTGAGGAAGAGCAGGTAAGGTAAAGCCTTTCAAAGCCTTCATCAAGCAGCTTGTCACACCACAACCCAACCAGCTCTGCAAAGCCTCCTGCGGGCAGGGCTGGGGTGGGGGGCAAGAGCAACCCATGCACTGCTCTTGCTAAAGGGTGAGGATAGGAAAAGAGGTGTTTTTCTGTTCCAGCCCGTCAGCACGGGACAAAAGGGTTCAGACCCTGGAGGATTTGATACCACACTGGCTTTTAAGTACTCAGGTCATCAAGAATTTGCTCCTCGTTTGATACTGCTGCACATCACGCCTCCCTCTCCTGCATATTCCTAATGTCAGCATTTCCCCTTTCATAGTGCTTGCACCAAAGAGAACCCCAACCCTTCTTTGTGCATGAAGCGCCTAGTATTCTGCTAGCCTGGTCCTTTAACATAGTACCAAAACACTGCTGAAACCATGGCATTACATGTATTCCTTGTTGACTATATACCTACCAGAGTTTATATTCCAACTTTTGATGATGAATAGAAAACACTATGTTATTCACATTAATTAATTGCACCCCGATAAAAACCATTGATGGAGTGGTTGGCAAATAGTTTCCCTGATGCTTAACACTTTCCAAGCCTTAACAGATTGAAGACTGTAACAATGCTAATAACCAAAACCTTCCAAGGACTTTTTCATTAAAGTCAGAACATATGATTAGAAATGTTAACAGTCTGACCGATGGGTGTAGGAGCCACCATTCTCCCCAGTCCTGATTAATACACTTGTAAGGGAATATTGAAACTACTATACATTCTGTCAATTTATACTTAATTATTTCCCGGCCAGCTTTCCCCAGTTTATGTACTGAGCATGATGTCACATGGTATGGAATGTCCCTTTGGCTGGTTTGGCTGTGCCCCCTCCCAGCTTCTTGTGCACCTCCAGCCTTCTCAGTTGGTAAAGCATGGAAAACTAAAAAGGCCTTGGCCAGTGTAAGCATTACCTAGCAACAACTAAAACATGGGTGCCTTACCAACTTTGTTCTCATCCTAAATCCAAAACACAG